AAAAAAGTGAAATTTTCAATATTAGTTAGTTAAAACTCAATAAATAATAAATTTATCTACAGCGAATCAGAACCATTACACGCTGTCGTTATGTCTATATCAGCATTACAATCGAAACAGTCTGCTTTATTCAATATTGAATTGTATTCGTTGCGCGCCCAAATGGACGTAAGTAAAAGGAAAGATTACAGAATTACTTCAAATTATCTGGCTAACACCAATTCTAGATGATTCTATGAAATTCATGGTACACTTTCTTCATTGATTTAAATTTTGAGTTAAGATTCAAAAAGAACAGCGTGAGTTCAGATCAAGACGAACGACCTCTGACCAGGTCTTCGCTTTATGTCAGATTTTGAAAAATCGTCCTCTGCTCTTATTCTGCTCAGTTGACCTGGAACGAATATGTGGTATTGATGGTGAGATGCTATAAGCCATCAAGTCACTATATTTTTATTGCAGGTGCTGAGTCGGAGTAAATGGCGCTGATCCTAAACTATTCAATTTTTCATTCTTCTACGCCAAGGTTGCATTCCGTCTTCTCTCTTGGTTGTGTTATAAGTGGATAGGGCAATCAAACGCTGCCAGAGCAAGGAATCTAGCAGCGTTACAGATAATGTTGAGATCGAGAAGCTTGCTCTTTAGCAGACAACCTTGATTTGTTGACATCTTCCGAAATTGATCTCCACCACGATCTGGAAAAATTCGCAGCCAAGTAGAGAGTGTGTGGCACTAGCCCGAGCCCTTATGACTAAAACAATCTCTGTTTTATGAAAATGCTCTCTGTGTGTAAAATCGATTTTTGTCCCGAAGCACAGCTAAAGTCAAGAATTTGTCGATCTCCAGTACAGGCAGTTGAAATTGGCTTTCTGAGATGAATCGTATAGCTCGCGCATCTCAATATTGTTCGGAGTACAGTGGTACCTCGAGTCACGAACGCCTCTAGTCACGAACAACTCGACCAACGAACACAATTTCCGAACAAACTTTGACTCGACCTGCGTACAATGCCTCGGCGCACGAACGCCTAAACATGACTTTGGGGCGAGCAGACAAAAGCCCCCCCCCCCGTGGACGATAACCCACGGAACGGTCAAAATCTGTTCGGAAATTGTGTTCATGAGCCGAGTTGTTCGTGATTAGAGGCGTTCGTGACCAGAGGTACCACTGTATATATAAAATATTCTTTGCATTAAATTAACCTTCATTATAGCTCTCAAGAAAATGGAAAGTGTTAGCGACAGCGGTGTAACGAAGCCTGAGCGTATTGCAGTTGAAACGAAAAAGGAAATAATAAGTAAACACGAGAATGGTGTTCGTGTCTCTGATCTCGCCAAGCAGTACGACATGGCTAAATCTACA